TTTGTTTTTGGTCCTCACCCCAGGACATTTTTTCATTGCTTTTATAGAGAAAGGGAGAGAGAGAAATATCGATGTGAGAGAGAAGCATTGATTGGCTGCCTCCTGTATGCGCTGCAACAGGAGAGCCTATGCACCCTTGGACTATACTGGTGATCAAACCGGCAATCTAGGCATGTGCCCTGACTAGGCATTGAACCCGCAACCCTTTGGTTCTGGGATGACACACCAACCAAATGAGCCACACCAGCCAGGGCTGTCTCCTCATCTTTAAAATAGAAATAAAAATGGAACCTACCGCAAAAGATTGTTAGGAAGATATGTATGTGTTAAAGTGTTTCAAACAACACCTGGCACATAGTGAGTCCTATGTAAGCATTACTGATTAAGATTATTGTTTTTTTGCCCGTCTGTCACATTATCCACAGACATTTTGGCTGAGTCAGCTATTAATCAGTATTCTGTGAGTGAGGTACCTGTGGTTATCACAGGGGAAAGCAGGTTTTCAATTCGATGTCTCCACAAGCTCCTATTAAGTCCAGCTTCTCGGTCCAGCCCATTTTGCACATGCAGCACAGAGTACATAGCCCACCCACCTGGGTTCAGCATCTAAAAAGGCCTTCCCACTCCATTACCCCTGAAGGCTTGGGCACAGGACTCAAAGTGACATTCAGGTTGCACAGCCAAAGGTATCAGCACTTTGACTAATTCTGTAGCTGAAACTGGGCCCAGGCTTAGACTTTCTGGTTTGAGGTGTGCTACCTCAGTGCAAATGAAGCTGGCCCATGGGTGTCCCTAGTCTTGAGGAAGACCTCAGCAGCCACAGTGAGAAGAGTGGCTACCAATTCATATAGAGCACTGACCACGTGCCAGGCATTGTTCTGAGTATCTTTACATATATGGGCGGATCAACTCTTTTCATCCAAAAAGGGAAACCAAAGCACAGAACAATGACACAAACTGCAAAGTCACACAAGTTACACTTCAGAGCCAGGAATGCAACTTGGACGGCCTGCTCCAGAGTCCATGTGCTTATCCACTCTGCCACACTGCCTCACATGGGGCCGGGCCAGCTCTGGCCAGACAAGCACCTGTGCCTGTGCCTGAGCAGTTCACTTGGTGCCTAGTTGGGGAAATAGGAGCTCATCACTAATAGGAGGCAGGGCTCAGGCCACGGAAGGTCTGCGCAGGACATTGTGGACAAAGCCCCTAAGACCAACATTGCATCCTAGTGGGACTTCAGGAAATTTGTTTGGATGGCTGAGAAATCTTCCAGGAGGCTGGAGAGTCTAAGCAGCTAGAGTCCAGATTGAAGCCCATCATCAAGGGGCTTCATGCAAGGTCCTGGGAGGGCAGCTTAGAACACAACTAGGTACCTCCCAAGACAAGGACCCATAGAGAGATGCTCCTCAGCAACTTTCACTCAGTGGAGTACCTTTGGGGTGGGCATTGCAGTTTCTGGGGTACACCTTTTCTTCGTCGAGGGATCCCAGAAGCAGCCAAGAACAGCAGTGCAGACTGACTACTGCTCAGGGACAGTGACCTTCCTGGCAGGGACTTCCCTGGCTTTACAGGCCCACTTCTGTTTGGGATAAAGTACTCCAGGCTGTCAACGTTGGGTCAAGATGGAAGCATGGGTAAACATTGCTCACCTTCTCACACAACCACAGAAATAATTACAACTAAACTACAAAACACATATCGCCCAGAATCATTGGCAAATCAATCTGTATGGAAGTCTAACAACTAAGGAATTAAAGGGGTCACATTCACCCAAATGGGTAGGAGGAGCAGACGCATGGAGAGGCATAGAGAAACATGGAGAGGCATAGAGAAACATGGAGAAGCATAAAGAAGTGGAGTGGCATGGAGAGGCACAGAGATGCAGAATGAGTAGTCCCACACCCACATGTGGTGGATAAAAATTGGGAGGGATATCTCAGGAATGAGGGATCCCACCCTGACAGAAGACCACCCAGCCCAGGGTTCCAGTGCCAGGAAGATAAGTCCCCATAACTTCTGGCTGTAAAAATCAGTGGGGATTGTAGCAGTGGAAGAAACAGAAGGATTCTCAGGTGTCTCCTCTTAAAGGGTCCACAAGGAACTTAGGACTTAGTCAGACTCACTCCCTCTGGACTCCAGCACTAGGGCAGCAGCTGGAAGGGCACCAGTGGCATACAGGGAGAAACTGAAGGGTCTGGCATCAGGGCAAGTGCTGGGAGACAGCTTCCTCCATGACAAAACTTCAGAGGCCAGGCAGAGGCATTGTCCTCTTTCTGAGCCCTCCCTCACACAGAGCCACAAAGCAGCTACACCATACCGGAGACTCCATCAACCTGGTTCACATGGGTTGCCCTGCCCATCCAATTTACACATGTGCTTTTCTACAATAGGCCACACTACTAAGACAGGGATTCAAAGCAGCTTTACCTAATATGTAGGAAAAAACACAGGGAGGCTGCCAAAAATGAGGAGAAAATGAAATACGGCCCAAATGAAAGAACAGAACAAAACTCCAGAAAAAGAACTAAACAAAATGGAGACAAGCAATCTAACAGATCAGAGTTCAAAACACTGGTTATTAGGCTTCTCAAGGAACTCATTAGGTACTTCAACAGCATAAAAAAGACCCAGGCAGAAATGAAGGTTACACTAAGTGAAATAAAGAAAAAATTACAGGGAACCAACAGTGGAGTAGGTGAAGCTGAGAATCAATCAAATCAATGATTTGGAACATAAGAAAGAGAAAAACATTCAATCAGAACAGCAAGAATAAAAAAAGAATCTCCCCTTCCCCCCCTAAAAAAAAACAAAGATAGGCTAAGGAACGTCTGGGACAACTTCAAACATGCCAACATTCAAATCATAAGGGTGCTGGAAGAAGAGAAAAAGCAAGAAATTGAAAACCTATTTGAAAACAATAATGAAAGAAAAATTCCCTAATTTGGTGAAGGAAATAGACATACAAGCCCAGGAAGCACAAAGAGTCCCAAACAAGTTGGACCCAAAGAGGACCACACCAAGACACATCATAATTAAAATACCAAAGGTTAATGATAAAGAGAGAATCTTACAAGCAGCAAGAGGAAAGAAGAGGGTTACCTGCAGGGGAATCCCCATAAGACTGTCAGCTGATTTCTTGAAAGAAACCTTGCAGGCAAGAAGGGACTGGCAAGAAGTATCCAAAGTGATGAAAGGCAAGGACGTATAACCTAGATGACTCTACCCAGCAAAGATATCATTTAGAATGTAAGGAGAGATAAAGTGCTTCCCAGATAAAGTAAAGCTAAAGGAGTTCATCATTACCAAGCCCTTATTATATGAAATATTAAAGGGACTTATTTAAGAAAAAGAAGATCAAAACTATGAACATTAAAATGGCAATAAATACATAACTATCAGCAATTGAATCTAAAAAACAAAGTAAGCAAACAAGCAGAACAGAAACAGAATCATAGATATGGAGATCATTTGGAGGGTTATCAGTTGGGAGGGGGAAGGGGGAGAATGGGGGAAAAGGTACGGGGATTAAGAAGTACAAATTGGTAGGTACAGAATAGACAGGGGGATGTGAAGAACAGAATAGGAAATGGAAAAGCCAAAGAATTTATATGCATGACCATGGACATGAACTAAGGGAGGGGGATTACCAGAGGGAAGGGAGGTACCAGGCGGAGGGGGGCAAAGGGAGAAAAATTGGGACAACTGTAATAACATAATTAATAAAATATATTTTTAAAAAAAGAACTTCAGGCTCTCAGCTCTTGACACCCTCTAAAGGACACAAGCCCCAATCCCTTCTCTTCAGCCAGTCTGAGCCAAGGATGGGTTCACCCCAAGAGCCTCAGGCACAGCCTATATTCTCTGAGCAGCCCTGAGTGGCTCGGAGAAGGAGCTCTTGGGCTGTTAATGCCTTCCAACCGGTGAGCAGGCAGAAGTTCCCTTCCAGGCTCAAGGTCTGCAGGGAAAGTCAGGAGGAACTCGAGGCTGAGGGGTTGGAGGTAGCTAGTGGGAAAAGAGATCAGCCCAGGAGTCCAGAAGCAAAGTGAGCCTGGTGGGAGGACAGGTAGGGACTGAACTATTCCCAGAGGCCTCAGACAGGGACCATTTGTTCCCAGGCAGCCTTCTCTCCATCTTCTCTTCAAGGCCTCTAAGATGGTCCTGGGAATAGTATCTGACAACAAACCCGTTGTGCATGAGAGAGATTCTTTCAGTAACTGTTATTTTGATGTAATTTCAAATTTGCACAAAAGTTGCAAGAATAATACAAAGAACTCTGTTATACCCTTTCCCCATATCACCAGCTGTTAGCACGGTTCCCCATTTGTACATCCTCTCATTTTGCACATTTTCCAAGTCACACAGAACTAACTTGCCAATGTGATAGCCCTTTATCCCTAAATACTTCAATGTGTATGTCCTGCACACAACGACATTCTTTTACATTGTCAAAATTAACAAAATAGCATGGATCTAAGGTTTTTATCTAATCCCTATGCTAGAGTCAAATGTTACCAATTGTCCCAGTTTGTTAGCTTAATTTTAATTTCCTTTCTGATGGCTGTACATGAATATAATCTCCATATAAAACATTACAGACAGGCCAAAGCAGCCCCCCATGAAAACTACCCTCCACCCTGGTCCCTCTAACTGTAGCAGGCATTACAGCTAACAGGAAGAACACGAGGTCTCTGACACTTGCTGGCTATGTGGCTTTGAGCAAATTTCTTAAACTTCCTGCATTTCTGTCATCTGTAAAACAGGAAGGAATGCTAATAGTAACAAGGTCATAGCTACTACATAGTTATGGGTAGTAAATGAATTCATTCCAGTAAAGCTCTTAGAATAGCATCCAGCACATAGTTAAGTAATCAGTAAATGTCAGCCGTTATTTTTATCCTGTTTGACTTCACTCCATGGGGCAACTGCAGGGAATGTTAACAAGCAAACGTCGGACCTGACAATGACTTCCTTTCCAGGGGTGACCCAGCTGAGCGGTGCAGGAAGACAGCCTCCTCCTGTTCACTGTGGGAGCAACTGGGACTCAAGTATCCATCAAGGTCAGGCTTCCATAATCAGATCTTTGGGCACTGGCAATGTTGCTACATGTACCTCTGGGGCATTTGGACAGGCCCTAGTGGAGGTAGAGTCCCAGGCACAGGGTGGAATGGGAACAGATGCACACCCAGCCCAGAGGTAGGAGAGTGCCCCAGCCAGGCCTTCAGGAGCTGACGTGGGATGGGCTGGAGACTTCTAGGAGCATTACAGACTGTCCTGGAGGAAGGGGGGTATTGCAAAAAGGGCATGGCACTCAGCAGATGTTTGCTTGGTCCTCCAGGCCCCTTATCCTAGAAATTCTGACATTTCTTCTCCTTGGTGAGCGAGGAGGAGCAGCGCAAACAAAATGGGGATGTGGTGATGTTTACCTCTATGACATAAAATGACATTAAGCTTCCTCTGTGACCCAACACAAGATGCCTGGTTGGGGCCATGTGGTGAGCTTGGTGTGGCTTCTGAAAGAACCAGTCCTTGGACTACGGTATTCTTGCACGGGGCAGGTGGGGATCTCCACCCTAGCAGTTAGTATAGCACATTAGAACGCAGCCTGGATGGGGATCTTGCCCGAATCCCTACTGACTGGTTAGCCTGGGACAAGTCTCTTCACCACTCTTAGCCTCCACCTCCATTCTTCAAAATGGGTACAGTAGCCTCTGCCTCCCCAGGAGGCTGCAGGTTTAAAAGAGATCATGTGTACGGAAGTTAGGGTTTGCTGAGTGGAAGCTCTTTTTTTATTAAACAGTTTCCAGGCACTTCTGGGGACAGGATGAGAGGAACGTCATGGTGCTTGGTGGCAGGGTGTGGGTCTCGAACTACTCTCCAATCTCCTCTGCCTTCCTGCTCTCGCATGTACCTTCTTTTCCAAGAACTCTGACTGCCCCTGGGCTGACAAGCTCGTCCTGACTTCCTTGCCTTGGCGCCTGCTGTTCCCACAGCCTGAATTGCCTTGTCTCCCTTTGCCACATGACAAATGGCAGTAACATCCTCCTCCCCTGGTCCCAAAAAGAGTGAGAGCCCCATAGCTTGGGAACTCACCCCCATGGGCCTGATCTTCCTAGGCCCCAGCTCATGGCCTCAGCACTTAGAAAGATCTTGCCTCCCAGTAAGACTTGGAGCTGCAGGAAGCAGGGCGCAGGAGAGGGTGGCCCCCAGTTCCCGGGTCCCTGGTGACTAAAGCTCTCCTTCTCTTGGGAAATTTGGGGCCTAGAAGGAGGTCTAGAGGCCCAGCCTAGTCTGGGGCAGACCCCCACCCCTGCCTGGAGCCCGGACTCTGGTTAATTTCATGAAAGGAAGTCTCTGCCTCAGCGTAAGCCACTGCCTGAGCCCCACAGAAGCTTGGGCCTCCCTGGGTCCGCTGCTCAGACAGCCGGGGGCCAGTGGCTGAGTCCAGGGGCTTTGGACGCTGCCTCCGGAGTCATTCCAGGGACCTACAAGACAGGCTGTGAGGTCACAGACACTGAGAGTCAGGAGGAGGAAATGGCCCCCTTCCCTGGCTGGTCTGACTGACGCTGTGGAGGCCCTCCTTCCTGTGAGGGGCTGGGCCCAGGGCTCAGACCTCCTAGCCTCCAATCTCCCAAACCACAGCCCAAAGGTGTGAAAGAAAGAAAAAAAACAGGGGGAAGGGTGGCAGAGAACAGACAGGTGCATACTTCACACCTTGACCGCAGGTTGGTCCTGAGCAGCTTCACTCTGACTAACTTCCTCCTCAAGCTTCCCCAGAGGCTGCTCAGAAGGGCAGAAGCAAGAAGCACATGAGCCCTCTATCAGAACTCAGAGTTCAGACTCCTGGCTAGATATGTCTCCCCAAAGGCTATGCCTGCCTTTGACCTCGTCTCGGGCTGCTTGGGACAGGAAAGGACCAAATTAGAGGGGCAGACAAGGGCTTGCCTTGGCACCATGACACAGACACCTTACAATACACCTGGGCTGGGAAAGACTGCCGAAGCCCACCACGCGGCTGCCATTTTGAGGCCTAGGCAGGAACAAAACTGCTGATCACTGGACCCATAGCCTCTGCCAGATACCTCCCACATGTTGTGGTCCACAGAGCAGCCCAATCAATCACACATGCACTCTCTTTATCCCTCCTTTCCAGATGAGGAAACCAAGGAAGGGAGGTGAAATTGTTTGCCTGAGATTATGCAGCTGGGAAGCCAGAGAATTAGGCTGGGACTGGCCAAACCATCCCAGCTCGGGTGAGCAACAGCCGTTCTGGATGAGCCACCCTCGGGACAAAGCCATGCCTGCTGGCCCCATGGGGTAGCACAGCCTGTCCCAGGGCATCCTGAACACGAAGGCTCCCAGGGACTCCAGGTCTTTAGCCAATGTCCCTCCCACTCAGCATTCTCATCTGTGCACCTGCAAAGTGCAAAAGCCTATACCACAGGCCTTACAGCCTTGGTTGCCTCAAATTATCTTATAAAAACCCTGCTGAGGAGACCAGCTCAAAACAGTTATGTCATTTGTCCAAGGTCACACAGCTTAACAAGAGTGGAGTCAGAGCTGGAGCCAGACAAGTTCAACATTCTTCGCACCGCATCATGGCCACACAGCCAAGCGGCCACACAGGGAACAGCTCTCTGAACCTTTGCAAAACTCTTGCCTGACGTGCTCTCATTTCTCCTTCCCAGCAGCCCGGGAAGGTGGGAACCATTGTCCCCATCTGGCAAACAAGGAGACTGGGGCCCAGGGAGGAGACCAGGGGTCCCTAGGCTGATATGCCACATGCACCAGTAACATTGCAACATATATTTGGAGGACCTAGAGAGGGTTGTCAACCTCTGCCAACAAGAGATGCTTCCAAAACTCTCAGCTATTTCCAGCATCTTCTCATAAGGAAAATATCTTTTTAATACAAAAAAGGGGATGAAGGACAAACTTGAAGACTAGCAGACCTTCCTTCAGGTTGAACAAATAGAGCCTTTTTGCTTTTCTCCTTTCTCTCATGCGTAGAAGCCCAGCAAATGGAAACTGTTCATGCACCAGCATTAGGAAGCTGTGGTCCTAGCTCCCACAGCTCCTCCTCCCCTGACAGTCAGTCTCTTGCCAAGTCCCTCCTGACCTCCATGCCTTCTGGAACCCTTCCAGTCCCTTCCACTGACACTGCTCCTGACCTCGTCCAGGCCCTCGATTCCGCCTGGCCTGGCCCGTGTAGGTGACAAGCTGTTTGGAGCAAGATAGTCACACACACAAGATGGGGAAGGGCTTTGGGACTTTACCAGTAAGTTTGAACTAAATCTCAAGCCTTAGGCTGGAGGCTCTTGTGAAGTGCTCTAACTAAAAAGCAGACTCCAAGGCAGTGGGCTAGCATTGCCTCTGTGTCCCATTTTCATCTGAGGGAAGCGAGGGAAAGAGGAAACTTTTTGGGAAAGGCAAGTTAAGGGCCACCTTTTTCCGCTGATAATGAGAACAGAGTGATAAGGAGGGGGGAGGAGGGCAGGGCAGAGCTGAGGGCAAGGTGAGGAGCAGAACTCCCCACGGTGCATAGCCAAAAAGGGACTGACCGGCTCCACAAATGTATACAACTTCTCAAAATCAGGAGGTCCCCATGTCCTCCTCTCCTTCCCCAGTCCCTTTCTTCTTGCTCCAGTAGGAACTACGCTCATGAACTTGTGGTATCACCAGCCCCTCTTTTAGACTTCTAGAACAAACCACTGTATCCAAAACAACTCAGTATTGTTATGTGTGTGTGGTTTTTAGAATTTGCGTAAGCAGTGTATAACTCTACACAATATTCTGTAAGTCACCTCTTCTACCGTGTGGTCACTGGCTATTTTAGATATATGCATGGTAAAATATAGAGCTTTAGTTCACTGCACTTTAGCTGCATGAATATAACATAATGTATCTATTTTTAAAAAACAAAACAAAAAACTGCCCTGGCTGGTGTGACTCAGTTGGTTGGAGAATCGTGCCATAAAACAAATGGTGATAGGTTCGATCCCTGGTCCGGGCACATACCCAGGTTGTGGGTTCAATCCCCAGCTGGGGCACATATGAGAAGGCAACCAATCGATGTTTCTCTCTCTCATCAATGTTTCTCTCTCTTTCTCTCCCTTCCTCTCTCTCTAAAGGCAATAAAAAAATGCCCTCAGGTGAGGGGAAAAATTAAAAATGAAAAATAAAATAAGAAAACTAAAGGCAGTGTGATGAGTGGTAAAAGGAGTCAGACAGCCATGGGTTCAGTCTTAGCACCCATCTGGTGATTAGTCATTAGGATAACTCCCACCTGACAAGAGAGCTGTGTGATTGGAATGAGATAGTGACAGAGAAAGCACCAAAAGCAACATCTGGCACATAGCAAGGTCATTACTAGTAATACCCCATCCTTGCCCCTGTTGATTAGCAAGAAGGGGCAATAGTAAAGGACTAGATTGAATGTAATCAATTTCTTTGAAACACTTTAATTCTTTCAAGAAGGGCAGTGTCCTTTACAGACTTAACATGTTTAGCGATCCAGTCTACAATCAGGCAAAAATGAACTCCAGCCAAGGATGAATGAGCACAAGTTCTCATTTATTTGAGCATTGGCTACAGTGGTGCAGGAGAAGCAGTTCTTTCCCCGGCGGCAGGCAGGGCTGTCCTTCATTCACTTCCCCACTGCGGTTTTCCCCTCAGACCAGTTCCCTGGGAGACCCTGCCTCAGCCCTTCCTGAGGCCTCAGCCTTTCTAGCCCCAGGCAGCTTCCCTGGCCAGGAGAATGACTGGGATGGGAGCTCCCTGGCATTGGCTCTAGAGAAGTCTAGCATAGATAAGCCCATGGAACAGGTGGCAGTCGAAAAACACGCGAAACCCTCACTTCCTCTGTGAAGCTCAGGTTCCCAACCACAAGCCTGAGGCAGAGTGGTAGGTAACACACGCCTAGCAGCTGGTGCACCAGTCCAGCCATGCTCCCGGAGGTAAGTACCACTGTCCGGCCGGGCCAGGGCACTGTCAGTGTGGAGAGTCCAGGACAGTAGGGGACTGGCTGGGCTGGCCCATGAGCCAGCACCAGCAGAGGGTTGGATGAGTTGGTAGAGAATGCAGCGCTTGTGTGGAAGGGGCACCAGATGGGGAATCGAGAGCCTACTGTGGCCACTGACTTGTGCCAGTGACCACTGGTAAGTCACTTCCCTCTCTGGCTGGTGCCTCACCTGCAAAATGCAGGAGGTAGAGGATCATCCTTGACCTCCTCCAAGGTGCCTTTCAGCTCTGACTTGGAACTTTGACTCCTCTGTGCTGGGTTGAACTGGCCATGGGGAGGCCTGCAGCTCTGGGGTAATTTGTGGGAGAAAGGGAGGACTATTTCTGCTAGAGCTTGGTGGAAGAGCCCCCCGTGGGTGTCAGTCCTTGGTGTAAGGGAGGGAAAGGAGGGGTAGAAAGCATGCAAGGAGGATACGGTGACTTATAGAGGGATCCCATGGGGAGCAGGAAGTTGGGGTCCCCAGACAAGGGCTAAGGAGGGAAGAGGAGGGCTGGTGACTGGGAGAGGGGACAGTGGCGTGGTGCCTGGGAAGGAAATTAGTGGAACTAGGCATGACCAGGACACTGAGAACAGCAAGCCTTGAAGGGAGAGAAAGGAGGAAGAGGTGGGGGACGGGGACGGCTCTTGGCACAGGAGGAAAGCTTTCATCCGGAATCCCTGGGCTAAAGGGATGGCCCGAAGGGTGAGTGAGAATCAGCCTTTGAGAGGGAGTTACTTCCCAGTGCCAAGGCTGGGCAGATGGCATTTAGGAGGCGTGGTCTTGGAATAAAGGTGGGGACAATTACAGGGTGTGGCCCTGGCCTCAGGGCTTGTCTTACTGTAGAGCCGCTTCTAGAAAGGCTCTTCAGCCCTGGCTGGTGTGGTTCCGTGGACTTGGCACCGGCCTGTGAGCCAAGGGGTTCCTGGTTCCATTCCCAGTCAGGGCGCGTGCCTGGGATGCAGGCCAGATTCCTAGTTGGAGGCGTGTGGGAGACAACCGATCAATGTTTCTCTTTCGCGCTTTCTCCCTCTCTTCCCCTCTCTCTAAAAATAAATAAATAAAATCTTTTAAAAGAAAAGTAAGGCTCCTCAGACTAAACTTAGGAAGCAGCTTGTTTATAGGGTCTCTTCCTCCTTCCCTCCCTCTCTCTCCACAGATCAGTGAACGCCTTGTGTACCTAGGCTCTGACACTGCCCTGTTGCTGGAAAACTATAGCTCTTCCGACTATGGAGGAGAAAACGAGAGCGACTTCTGCTGTGACTCACCACCCTGCCCACAAGACTTCAGCCTGAAGTTTGACCAGGCCTTCCTGCCAGTCCTCTACAGCCTCCTCTTTGTGCTGGGGCTGCTGGGCAATGGTGCTGTGGCAGCTGTGCTGCTGAGCCAGCGGGCAGCCCTAAGCAGCACCGACACCTTCCTGCTCCACCTGGCTGTGGCCGACGCCCTGCTGGTGCTAACCCTCCCCCTCTGGGCAGTGGATGCTGCGTTGGAGTGGGTTTTCGGCTCTGAGCTCTGCAAACTGGCAGGTGCCCTCTTCAACATCAACTTCTATGCAGGGGCCCTCCTGCTGGCCTGCATCAGCTTTGATCGGTACCTGAGCATAGTGCATGCCACGCAGCTCTACCGCCGGGGGCCTCCCACCCGCGTGGCCCTCACTTGTGTAGTTGTCTGGGGGCTCTGTCTGATCTTTGCCCTCCCTGACTTCATCTTTCTGTCGGCCGACCGTGACTTCCGCCTCAATGTCACCCAGTGCCAGTACAACTTCCCACAGGTGGGCCGCACAGCTCTGCGCCTACTGCAGCTGGTGGCTGGGTTCCTGCTGCCCCTGATGGTCATGGCCTACTGCTATGCCCGCATCCTCACTGTGCTGCTGGTCTCCAGAGGCCAGCGGCGGCAGCGAGCCATGCGGCTGGTGGTGGTGGTAGTGGTGGCCTTTGCCCTCTGCTGGACCCCCTACCACCTGGTGGTGCTGGTAGACATCCTCATGAACATGGGGGCCTTGGCCCGCAACTGTAGCCGAGAAAACCATGTGGACGTGGCCAAGTCTGTCACGTCTGGACTGGGCTATATGCACTGCTGCCTCAACCCACTGCTCTATGCCTTTGTGGGTGTCAAGTTCCGAGAGCGGATGTGGATGCTACTTCTACGCCTGGGCTGCCCTGGCCAGGGTGGGCACCAGCGGCAGCTGTCATCTTCCCGCCGGGATTCATCCTGGTCTGAGACCACAGAGGCCTCCTTCCAGGGCTTGTGAGGCTGGGCTGGGGGCAAGCCTTTCACCACATAGCCTGACTCCCCGCCTCAATTCCAGGCTCCTCCTTCCCTCTGCCCAGGGTCTGGCTCCCCAGGTGCATATTCCTGGCATTTCCTGACAGCCCCAGCACCTCCAGGTCTCCCAGGGGGTACCCTCCTGACTCCAGGGACTTCATTGCTCCTTAGTCACCAAAGCTCCATCCTGCAAATTCAGAGTTGGCTGCCTTCAGGCCCTTCTTCCTTTGGCTGCCCAGAGCCCCACCACCCTCCTTATCCAGTAACTAGGCCTTGGCCTTCCCCATGTGCAAGGAGCTTGAGGCACACGGCATGGTGGAAGCTGACCCTGTGGGGTCTTGGCCCAAACCTCCAGCCCAGCAGTGACTAGCTATGGTCCCTAAGACCTCTGTATTTGCTCACTTTTATGTCTAAAATTCTGCTTAAAACTTTTCAATAAACAAGAATATCAGTACCAAGGTGTGCTAATAGTGCATCATTCCAGCCCGCCCTGCCCGGGCTGCTTCTCCTTGCCTGTGCCTGGGACTGTGAAAACCAGTGTTGCCTGTGTTAATGTTCATTTGTGGCCTGCTCTCTACCATCCTGGGCACTCCTGTCACTCGCAGGGAAGCACCAGGTACATGGGTACAGGGTAAGCAGTCAACCATCTGGCTGGATGCCACGTGGGCATGCTTTGAGGGAGGGACCTTCAGACATAAGAAAGACATGGTCCCTGCACTCCAGAAGCCGAGGATGTGGTGAGATGTAACACCCCGCAACCTACACCATGAGGCAAACATGTGGCACACACAGCAAACCTGGGCTCAGAGCACTGTGGCTGGAGCCATTTGGAAAGGCTTCCTGAAGACAAGATGAGCAGACCTGAAAGGGCAAGTGGTATTTCCAAGGGCAAAGAGAAGGAAAGGCGGTGTTTCCAGGCAGAAGCAAAGGTGGGAAGGCTGAAAACAGCAATGCTTCCTGGAGGAATTAGAAGTGGTCCCAATAGACTAAAGGATTCAGGAGGGGAAGGGCTGAACGCAAAACTTAAAGTTAGTTTGGGGTCAGGTGATGGTATTCTAGAGGCCAATTAGGTGTTTGTGGTTATTCAGGTTATAGGTAATGCAGGCTTTTACTAGTGAAATGGCAGTGCAATGGAAGACAGGCAATGAGATCAGATAATGAGCCAATGATCATTAGTGCAAAGGCTCCCTGGAGGCATGGGTGGGCTGTGAGCAGCATTTTCCCACTGCTGAGGATAGGGTGGAAGTGAGTGGAAGAAATGCCCAGGACTCCCCAGAAAGGCAGGTTGACAGGGTTACTGAGTTCAGACAGAGACCCGGCCCCTCCCTTTGTAGAGGTGGAACCACTGCACTGTCAGCTCGCCCTAAGTCAGCAGCCTGCCATGATCCAGTCTCACAGGCCAGCTGGGCCTTCACTGAGGCCGCAGATATGGCTGGAGGTGGGACTTCAGAGGAGAGACCCAAGGATCTCACTGGAAAGGCTTGTACCACCACCCTATGTACACACCCAATCCCATCTAGACTGGTGCTGAGACTTCCATTTGTGGTCACTGAAGGAAAACTGAGCACCTACAAAATGAAGGATGGAAGGAGAGACAATGACAGAACATATCCAGCCTCTAAAAAGAGGAGTGATGCGAGACCGGCAAAGATGTGCCCACACTCTAGTCCCCAGAACTCTGGAAGATGTCAGTTACTTTATGTGGCAAAGGGAACTGAGGATGTTCACCAGTTGACCTGCAAAGAAGCTGCTCCTGGATGATCCAGGTGGGCCCAGCGTCATCACATGGGCCCTTAAAGGTGAAAGAGGGAGGCAGGAGAGTCAGAGAAACAGATGTTGCTGGCTTTGGAGATGAAGGGGCCACAAACCAGGGGCTGCAGGAAGCCTCTAGAAGCTGGAAAAGACAAATAAATGGCTCCTCCCCCCGCCTTGGGGCCTCCACAGAGGAACACAGCCCTGCCCACCTGGATTACAGCTGAGTGAGGTCTGCTACCACTCCCCACCTACACAGTTGTAAATCAATATGCATGTCACTAAGCTTGTGGTTAGATGTTAGCACACCAAAAGGCAACAAATACAACACTGATTCCACCCATATCCCAGATAGGTCCCAGAGGTGGGGAGGATGCTGAAAACCTGAGTAGTCACAAGAATCAGAGGACCCAAAGTGGAGAATGCTTTTCCCTGCACGTGCATGAGAGCTTCAGATGCCCAGGGTCCTGGACAGAAGACCCGATGGCTTGTTCTGCTCTTGGCACAGACTGTCAACGAACAGACTTTGCTAAATAGTGAATTGCAGAAAACACTTTATTTCATGAACAATTACATTGGCTCAGATAGCAAAAGTAAATTCATGAAATATGAATTCTATTTCTAGTCAAGTTTAACAGGTTTCATCTGCCAACAGCCCTTGTTTTGAAACACTACCTTTAAGCATGTTCATTTTGCAGAGTTACTCCCATTCTCTCAACTGGCCACTCTCAAAAAATCTAATTTGCTTTTGCATTTTGTTTTACACTTCACAACTACAGAGCATAAGTATGTTCCACACATCACAACTACAGAACATAAGTATGTTCTACATATCACAATTACAGAGTATAAGTATGTTCTATAAATCACAACTATGGAGAATAAGAAAGACATAAGGTGGGTCCAAAGGACCTCCAAGTAGAGTCAAGGGTACAAAGTGCTAAGCGATAGAATACTTGGTTAAAGAACAATCATTAACAATATAAAACTTTATAAAAAGGATTTAAATTCTAATATTTGTAACTTCTTAGAAACAAAGATATTTTTCTAAAACTTCCTAAGCAGAGGACTTGGCTCACACAGATACCCTCTCATAAACTTAAAGGGTGTTGTTTTTCTTGCAGATGAAATAATCCTTGCTGAGCTGTCTCATCACATCCCCGTGGGTTACTTCTTTCATCGCCTGCCTGACGATTTTGTAATGCTGCTGCACATACTTGGCAAAGGGTCTAACATGCGGCTTGATGGGGGTTCCATCCTTGCGAGTTAACGGCAGCAGGACCAGAGGGCCCTTGCATAAGGTACAGGTATGGCGCTCGGTGTTCAGCGATTTGGAGTAGCGGCCAATCCTAAAGAGGAAAGCAATACCACACAGCAAAGGGTCAGTCACTGTAACCGGGCCTCTTCTCCAAACTGCTGGCCTTGGGCCCAAAGCCAGACTTTTCTGGGGGTTCTCAGAGAGTGGGGCACCAAAGCAGCGGCAGTGGTCAGGTCGGCTCAGAGTAGGAGCAATTGGAGAAAAGAGGACATGGAAAGGAGTAGAGAAGTTTTATTTACTTCTCAAGTCAGACAGCCAATAAAATCACTGAAGAGCAACTTGGAGGCCATAGTACAAAACATCACTGGGAAAAGTCTGAGGAGAAGGGTCTTACCTGGCTTTGCACTGAGTGCACTCATAGTAAATCTTATAGTTAATCTTGTAGTTATGGCAACGGGTGACCAAAGGCAGCTCTGGGTGCACCATGTTGCATTTCTTGGCATAGTACTTCCATGTGTGACCGTGCGAAGCACGGATGCCATTCAGCAGCCATGAGGCTGCATGGCAGAGTTCGTGGGCCAAGGTATCCCGGATTCGGTCTTGGGAGAGGAATAAAAAGAAACCATGAGCACTTCAACCAACTCCCTTCGAGTCACTACCCAACCAGCCCTGGACTCCACCTCACCAAACAGAAAGCCATCATAGATAAGTATAGGCAGAGGCAGGAGTGAGTGTTATATTCCCAAGGTTCTGAAAGTAAATTTCCTACCCACTTCCAACCAGTACGGTCAATACGGAGAACCTGGAGTGGGTGGGTGGGTGTTTTCGGAGCAGCTCCAACCTGCTTATCTTTTTGTGGGATATCACTAACAGAACCACATCTGGCCCAGACTGGCTTTCCGCTCTCCAGACTAAGCAGACAGAATGGGGAGCGATCACCAGTGCCATGAGATTTGGTTAAAAGAAACACCATGGAGAAACTAGGATCTCAGGTGGGCCCTTAACAGTGGACTAGATTTGCAAAATTAGGAAAGCCATTCTAGGTGTGAACAATGCAAACAAAGGTGGAGGCATGGGGTCCATTCTGAAAGCCAGTGGGAAGCCAGCATCATGGGACCACAGGCTAATGGTGGCGCTTTGGGAGTCAAGACTGGCCGAGAGGCGAGAGGCCTAGGGGTGAACTAGGATGGCCCTGAAAGCCAGGCTCCAGGTTATAGCCAGCCCGAGGTTTCTTAGCAGGAAAGCAATGCAGTGTACAGGAGACTGAACACGGCTGGGAGAGGAGGAAGGTGATGAGGGCCCATACCTGGGCAGAGGCAAAGGCGGAGGAAGAATAGTGATAGGAGAGTCATTATGAAGATTTGGTGATGGGCTAGACAGATATAGGCAACCTGGAACCTTGGTTACTGGGAGAATGGAGCTGCTGCCGCTGGCGTCAGGGAGCTGTGAAGAGAAAGCGAGGCCTACTAGAAAGATAGACAAGTGAGACTGCCAGAGATGGTGAGACATCCAATAATAGTGTTCTCTAAGCAACACACAGTAGGCCTGTGCACCCAGGAATGACAGGCGGAGCTGTGCTGCAGGTTGCCAGAGAATACCAGCACCTAAGCATAACTCAACAGGCTCAACTCAACTTGTCAGAAGAAAAGAGCCCATCAGGACAACTGCCATGCTCCTGCCATTACCTGCAGAGTCACAGACTTTCAGAGAAATATCAATCTTAGTGTAGCGCTGTCCCAGGTTAGACAATTGGCCAGAGCTGCACAAACCAGCAGTTCTCAGCATCTTCTTATTCCAGCGGATATCCAGTTTCTCTGGCAGCTGAGAAACACAAGCAAACAGTGAGTCAGAAAGCAGTTGTAAACGTGCCAGAAAAATGTTAACTAGGGAGTTTTGCAAATCGAAACATTCTGGGGAGAATAAAAGCCAAGCCGAGGCCCAGGTAAGGACAACCAGCAGGCCATCAGGACACAAGGGGGACCACTCAGAGAACCCTGGACCGCAGGCAAGATCTGTGCTCCCTGGCACAGAGACCGAGTCAGGGGTGGCCAAGGAGAGCCTAGTGATGGGGATGTGATCTGTGTATGAGAGTGCCATGGCACAACTGAAAACACAACTGGGAACTTAAGGTTCCACACATCAGTCATCAGATGTGACATCAGGAAGGGCACCGAAGTATAGGGAACCTTTAGAATAGAACTTTCCCTGCAGAGGTGATCAAGTCTGAAAAACACAATGACCAAAGGGTCTGTCTCTCTGCCTCCAGGTTCTTTCCAATCTAGTCCGTACCCCTGCTTCTGCCAGGTTAGTTTCTTTCATTAGCCACTCCATATCACGTCCCTGTGCAGCAGGGTCTACTGATCTCAATTTAAGTTCCTCCAAGCTGATTCCCAAGGCCCTCCATGATCTAGTCCTACACCATCTAAAAAAAGTTAACGTGTATGGCTGACTATGTCACCAGTCGTGTTCTAGGCCCTTCAGGTGTATTCACTTACCTGAGCCAAAGAATAATTCTATGAAGTCAGAGGTACTATGATTGTCCCCATTTTACAGACAAGAGAAGTGAGACCAAGAGGACTTAAGTCACTCGGCCATGGTCACAGTATTCTTCAAGAGGAACCCCCTCTTCCAGATAGTCAAACCTCAACATGTGCCCTCTACTCTATCACTGTTTTTATTTCTCCACTTACCATTTTTCAAGAACCAGAACCAGTCTCACTTCCTCCAAGCAGTCCTATTTCCTGACCACACAGGCTCTCAGCAATATCCCCCTCTGCTGATCTCCCGTAGCAGTAAGTCTGTACTGCACATTATAATCCACAAACATTCTTTCTTTCACATAAGCACGTCTTATCTCCCCACCTAAACTGACACTTCTCAAGGACAGGAAATACGCCGTTAGCACATCTGCACACCTCACAACACCCAAGAGTGATGGGCATACAATAGGTACACTCAATAAGGGCTTCGCCATTGATATTACCTTTTTATTAAAGACAGTGTTGTTGAACAGGTCATACAGTCTCCTGACCAGTTCATCTTTATTTTTCTTGAACTTCCTTCCAGAATACTCCTTTGACTTTTCAATGTCACGCAAAAAACATCCAGGTATGTTGCAATTAAGGTTCCTAGAAAAGGAAATTCAAATGAATCTTGTATGGCTCAACAAATACATAGAAGAAATGCATACATACAGGGCAAGAGAGACTTAGAAAACCTGCTGGTCCCTCCTCCTTCCAGATCCTTATATGTGAGTGTTTCCCAAGGTTCTATTTATAGCCTTTTTCTCTTCACTCCTTGCATATCGTCAGAGATGTGAAGCCCATGGTTTCAACCTCAACAGGAGTGATCCCACACCTACATCTTCAGTCTCCATCTCTCTCCTGAGATACAGTTCTGAGTTTACAATGAATTGTCTGATGCAATTTTCCAACTGATTGACGTGAGCATGTCTCCAGCTCAATGTGTTTAATGATCCAACTTGGGTTCTAACAGGCCGAAAACCTCAAAGACATTTCTTAATTCATTTCTCCCTTACCCTATAGCCAATTATGCACAAAGACAAACCACTGTCTCCTTCCCACCACCTTGTCCATCCCGCCCCTCCTTTCAGCCTCAGTCACCACCCTATATCAAGTTCCTTTCCTCCCCTTTATGCGAGATATGACAGCATTCCTCTGTCTTCCTTGCTTCCAGGCTCTTTTTCTTCTAACAGGACCCACAAACATACCTCCAGATTAATTTTCCTCGGCCATGTCCCAATTATGTCCCACTGACTTGGCCTGGTGATCAAGTCCCAGGTCAAGCTAGTCCCGATTTCTATTTCCAGCTGCCATTCCCACTCTGGCCAAAGTGGGCCACTCAAACATGCCCCTGGATGGGAACTGTGATTGCCCACAGTTCCTTCAGGCCTTGGTACTACCTATTTGCCCAAGGCCTAGAATGGCCACATCTTCACCAAGAACAACTACCTGTGTGGCACTTTATAATTTGCCAAGAACTTCCTTTTGCACTGTGACAACCAATCCTCACAACCACCCTCCAAAGCAACCATCACCAGTCATGATCTCTACTTTACAGATAAGGAAACTGAAGCTCAAAGGTTGTAACTTACCCAAAGTTCACAGAAACACAGTCTTCTGACCCCAATCTCATGGTCTTTCCATTAGACCACTATTGCTGCCCCTCCTTTCAAGGCCCAATTCAAATGCACAAAGAATAGTGCTCCACACATAAAGGACTCACACTTGCAATAACTATTTATTGAAACTAAAGTACTTTTATCTTGGATGGAACACTCCACAAGTCCAAAGAGATGAACCACAGAGCTGGAAAGATAAAACAGGAGCAAACACAGGGAAGTGAGTTTTTGACTTAACAGGACACTCATTAACCCGTAAGCCAGAAAATAAACCCTGTGTGAGGTGGCTGGGGTGGAGAGAGGGAAAAAGCATCTGGTCAGACAAACACAGCTAAAGGAAGGCCTTTCATCCCAAAGCCTAATATGACTAGCATTTCTGCAACAAGTTACTTAATTATAAAAGCAAATTTGCATTAGGAGAGGTGGTAGATGAAGACCTGAACCATCTGCAGACCTCAGCAGAGAACAAGACCCTGCATGTGTTTGTGCACACATCAAGCAGGCCTTGCGGCTTAGCACACCTTTACCTCAATGTCTGTGCCACTGTACTACAGGCTGAGCATCTCCACATCAGAGGAGTCAACAAAGCCCCACATGGAAACATCAGACACTATGACCAGTAAGCAGCCTCCACAGGAACAATGCTAAGCACAACAGGAAGCCTACAGACTGAAACAGGAAGTCCCAAGGCAACAGGGAGCAGTCCAGACAAGCTAGCCTACTTTGCATGATGCAGAGGACAATGTCAAAGGGGCAGCTTTCTTATTTGTCAGGCTCTTCAGTCAAGCAACCTGGGAGTGACCCAAATCACACATTCCTATAGGCAAAACAGCTTAGATATGTATCTAGGAATCCAAAGGAGAAATTTTGCTCAAAGGGGAGGCATCTTAATAGAGAACAAGCCAATCTGCTGTTAGCTGGCTCACCCGGTGAGGAGAGCAAAGCCAGAGCCTCTCTGCTCAGGCCCAAGTTGCTCTGTTGCCCAGCGCTTGACACATCATTCTTCTCCCATTCAGATGCATTGATGGACCCAAAATACAGGTTAAAAAAATAAACAGACAATCCTTCAAGTATTTTCCTTCTCTTGTAAGGTAATTAAGAGCTAAGTATATATTACTCCTGAATGCAATTAAAAACAAATAAAGAAAATTCTGCTTACTACATTGTGTTATTAAGGGAAAAAAAGTGAGAGGTTCCTGGAACCTAAATGAGAAAAATGTATTAATTCCTTGCTTCCTCTAAGTGTTAGCATGTCTTTGGTCTAAATGGCCTGTTATTTTTGGTATCAATTTTATATAGCTTAATAAAAATAATGGAACTATAAACAATCTATTTCACCCAAATGTCTAATGAAGCTTGAAAAACTTGCAAGCACACAAACAAGTAGTGAGAGTAACTGAGTTCATCCAAAGCACCAGAAAAACCTGGAAGACAATCCTGACTTTGCTCTCCCTCCGATTCCAGTGGGTTGGAACAACACGTCCGTTCTGCCTTCTCACCATTGCCGTTGCGTTTGCTTTGCTTTAGGGCAAACTGGTGGCCATGAGGCTGAAGAAAAAGAGTATCTTGTTTGGTTACACAACACTCTTTAACCCAAGTTAAAGGGCAAAGGAAACCTCAGAGTCCAGGGCTGCTGTGGGGGCAAAACAGCTCCGGTTGCCCAGGGAACTGCAGGGGTCTTTGCCCAGCTCTGGTAGGGGAAAGCGAGAAGGGGAGAGGCAGGGAGCAGCCACAGCCTCCTCCTGCTTATGCCTTCCCAATTCAGGGATGGGAACTTTGTCCACCTCCTCCACCAGGTTCCTTCACCCCCCTGAATCCCCTGACTCGTGCCCAGTGGGCTGCTTAACATCTGACAATCAGGCAACCAATTCCTGTTTGGCTGAACACAAGCAGTACATACCCTGGCTCATGCCGGTGAGATGGCTGTTGAGATTTCACTGCTCGGGGTTTCCTCTTTGGAGGCTGAACCTGCTTTGTCTTCGAAGGCTGAGCCCGCTTTCTCTTCAAAGGCTCAGCTGGCTGAGCCCGCTTTCTCTTCGAAGGCTGCTGATTTCCCTCCAAAGGCCGAGCCCGCTTTTGTCCTCTAACAGCTGAAGAAATAACAGTTGAAGAGATACCAATTCATTTGTTCCCTGAAAAGTGGTCCTATCAAGCAACTAGCAGAAACCCAGGAGCAGCCCCCACAGCCAAGTCCAGAGCAACATCTACAAGCGACAACTGTCTGAAGCCTGCATGCTGCTCTCAGTCAGCATGAATGATTTTACAGCCGTGATGCAGAGCTGCCAGCGGAATAAGCTGGGTAGGACTCTATCACAGGCCCTGAGACCTATAATGAAGTCACAGGAGCAAGCATGCAGGTTAGACTGCAAGGGTAACTAAGGCGTGAGCAGTGTAAGTAGCATGGCCTCTCTCACACATGTGCTCTGAGCAAAGTGGCTCCTGTCCTAGGAAGTACCTTCACCAACAGGAAAGCCAAATATTCCCACCATTGTCTAGCACCTGCACTGCCGGTGGCTCTAGCCAGAGGCTTACGTGTCAGTAATGTGCATTCATTTATTTAAAATATTTATTAAGCATCTGTTATGTGCCAAACACCACACTAGACCTTGGGAGAGACTGAAAGACCAGTAACTGTCCTTCAATCAAGAGGCTCACCGTCTACTGGGGGGACAGATTCAGACATGAGTGCTTTAGTAGAGGCAGGGCCAAAGAACTGTGAGAACCCAGGAGAGAGGAGCAACTCTGACAGCTTCCTACAGGAAGCGACAACTGGGCTGGGGCCTCAGAAAAATGGGATATCCTCAGGACAGAGGTCAGGGAGAAAGCACTCTAGGCAGATGGAATGGTGAATGCTAAGACTTGGGCATTCCCACCCCCGCCCCCTACTCCTAGAAAGATCATCATTGGGATGGTGGCCTCCCTTGGCTACCAGGCAGCTGCGGAAATGGCACAGGGCTGGTAGGCAGGAGAGGCAGGCCTGACAAGACAGACAGATTCAGGACAAAGGGCAAGGCAGGCACAGCTGGCACACTAGGTGAGCCAGGCACGTCCCGCAGGGGGTCAGGGGACAGGGATACTTGGGTTGACCAGCTTACCGGGTATCACACATATATTTTTGGTTTTACATTTCCTTTTCCTTGGTTGGTCCACCACAGGTAGAAGCTCTCCATCAGCTGGCCTCTTCCTACCTGAAATCCCTAGTTTAGCCTTAAACTCTTTCAGTGGCTGGCAGAGATCTCCACCAGTATCCGATGAATCGCGTGGGGGGTCAGCAACCTGCATCGTCTCCTTTTTGGCTGAGGGGCTTTGGCCCCCGACAGATGAATCGCGTGGGGGGTCAGCAACCTGCATCACCTCCTTTTCAGCTGAGGGGCTTTGGCCCCCGACAGATGAATCGCGTGGGGGGACAGTAACCTGTATTGTCTCCTTTTTAGCTGAGGGGCTTTGGCCCCCGACAGATGAATCGCGTGGGGGGTCAGCAACCTGCATCACCTCCTTTTTAGCTGAGGGGCTTTGGCCCCTGACAGATGAATCGCGTGGGGGGTCAGCAAATGGCATCACTTCCTTTTTGGCTGAGGGGCTTTGGCCCCTGACAGATGAATCGTGTGGGGGGTCAGCAAACGGCATCATCTCCTTTTTGGCTAAGGGACTTTGGCCCCCGACAGATGAATCGCATGGGGGGACAGTAACCTGCATCACCTCCTTTTTGGCTGAGGGACTTTGGCCCCCGACAGATGAATCACGTGGGGGGTCAGCAAACAGCATCACCTCCTTTTTGGCTGAGGGACTTTGGCCCCCGACAGATGAATCGCATGGGAGGACAGTGACCTGCATCATCTCCTTTTTAGCTGAGGGGCTTTGACCCCCGACAGATGAATCGCGTGGGGGGACAGTAACCTGCATCGTCTCCTTTTTGGCTGAGGGACTTTGGCCCCTGAAAGATGAATCGCGTGGGGGGTCAGCAAACGGCATCACCTCCTTTCTAGCTGAGGGGCTTTGGCCCCCGACAGATGAATCGCATGGGAGGACAGTAACCTGCATCGTCTCCTTTTTAGCTGAGGGGCTTTGGCCCCCGACAGATGAATCGCGTGGGGGGACTGTAAGCTGCATCGTCCCCTTTTTAGCTGAGGGAGTTTGGCCCTCATCTGATGAACTGTCTTCTATTACCACAGGACCCTCCATTGGACCCTTCACAGGACCCTTCACAGGACCCTTCACAGGACCCTCCACATCACTAGCATCATCATCACTGATAACTATTGGCAACTCCTGGGACTTAGGCTTCTCCTGAGTATCAGAAAGCACTTCCACAATCTCATCTGAAATTTAAGAGGCACAATCACATATAAGCAGACGTCCTCCACCCCCACCCCCCAGACATTCAGCCAGATTATTGAGCAGAAATTAAACAAGCAGGGAACTGTGGCATAGGAATCACATTTAAGAATTAGTTAGTTTAGATTATTTTCCCCTCTATTAGTTTTTTACTTTACAGAGAGCAGCGACAGATAAAATAGCAATCCAAGCCCAGTGGCAATTTTCAAACATTCTCTGAACAGCACAATGTAAGTGCTCAGAGGCTCCCTAACACAGCAGCTCTGCAGACTTGTATATTTCCCATCGAGTTCAATTTCTATTAATTTAAAGGACTATCCTTTCATTTGAGATTGGGGGTCTCATGAAACTTTCAATGCTTTTTACTTTATGAAATTACAGTGATAGTAGATGATAGTTGGAGTGCATTTCCATCATCATACAAATTAAAAATAGGCAATTGTATGTTTGCTACCAAAATTTCATTTTCTCACAAGTCCCTAAGTGCAAAGTGCTCAGAACCACTGATGTAAGATGGAGGAGTTAAGTCCTGACGGCAGCACTGGGGGGCCCTGGGAACATTCGCAAGGTCCTCCTTTGCCCTCAGGTGAAGGTCCCCTCTGCATTGCAGCACCTGGACCCTCTTGTTGTTCAGGCACAGCCAGAGAGAAGGAGGAAGAAACAAAATTCGAGTGGACAGGTGGTGAAACAGCAGGCTAGGGTTCTAAGCCACCCCTCCTTCCGCTGCTCTGCTACCCCAGCTTAGCTAGGAAACACCAGCCAACGGTAGCTCTTGGGTAGTGACCAAAGAAGTAGCCAGTACTTTAACTAGGCACCTATGTATCATGGCCTACCCCTTGTACTAAGCAAAGATGAGTAAAATACCATCCCTGATGCTTAAGGAGCTCCTAGTCCTCCTACATTTCACACCCACTGCAGAGGTTCCGAGCCAGAGTTAAAGCTCCACACCTCCCAGAAGGTTAAAAGGACTCCTGACTCCAAAGAGGCAAGGATTTGCTACGGGAAACAAGATGTGAAAAAAAAAAGGAATCTCTAGAAAGTACCCAGGGAATGGCAAAAGGCAAGGATAAGGAGCTAGATGGAGAAAGCATGGTTCCCCTAGAAGTCACCTGCTGGCCCACGGTCATCACCCACCCATCTCCCTCAGACAGGAAGAAGGAGCCCGTGCCTCTCTCACTCCTCTTTCTTCCTCTTTGTCACTCCCACGGATAGAGGAGGAAGAAAGGCGGAAGAGGGAGGAGAAGGGCAGCCTGCCTTCATTCTTCTCAGTCTCTGGACTTGACTTTCTTCCCTCTGATCCCTTGACATAGTGCTACGTAGCTGAGAACTGGACTGAGAGAAATGCCTGGGTCTGAGGCAGCAGCAGGAACAGTCGCGCCTGTGTCAGGAAATCTACCAACGGCTGTGAGCATCCAGCCACGTCCACGCCCGGCACACAGGAGGAAAGAAATGGTGCAGAACACAATGCTGGCTGACTTATCCTGAAATGCCTGTGTGTGACGGACCAGCCTGCAGAGCTCAGCTGCTTCCCTAAGGTTGTGGTATACTTGCCTTCGTTACCAGTTTTCGGGGGATTAGCTTGCTCTTTCCCGGGGAGCTGTTCATTATCCGAATCCAAGTCAATCACTTCGGTGCTGAGGGATGAGATAGGGACACATCAATGAAAAGCATGAATGACACATTCTTTTCATGACATTTTCTACCTTTTCTACACTGACCGGCATCGTTTCTTAAACGTTGTGTTCATTTGTTTTCCTGCAGCGACTCTATTCAACTACTCAGTCATTATTCCTGACTTTCCATCTTTCTACTCAATCTTTCCATCTGCCTCAATCCTTTCAAAAGGAGGTGACTGTCAAGTACTCAGAGTAAAATGAGCAGCCAGAGGGTTATGCATTCAAACACTTCAGGTGCAGGGGGAAATTGTTTAGGGAAACATCATGTTAACTGTCACTTTTACCAACATTGAGATCCAGCTACCCAAGAAGGGCGGAGGGCAGGTTTCTCCACGGTGCCGGCAGCCAGCACCGCTGCCCTACTTGACAGACCGCTCTGGTGGGAGTCAGCCTCAAGAGCACCCCTACGCCACCCAGGGTGCTGGTGCCACGCAAGCACCCCTCGGGGCCCCTCATTCTCAGTGGGCCCTGGTGCTTGGGTCAGAGGTTCTAGAAGGTTGGAATTCGCCACCTCTCTGTATTTCCCAAATAGTGTACAGTAAGCCTGATACTCCTTTATGAGGAGGACAGCTGGAGGGCCTGTCTACACCTGTTACAGATATGAGTCTGTCCATCTGTTTCCACCACATTACCACTTTTAAGCCACCAAGTTGACAGGCCTTTGCTATCCTGTTGACCTTAAAATTCTCTTTTCTTACCCTGACTGATGTGGCTCAATGGACTGAATGCCAGCCTGCAAACCAAAGGGTCACTGATTCGATTCCCAGTCAGGGCACATGCCTGGGTTGTGGGCTAGGTCCCCAGTGGGGGGCCTGCGAAAGGCAACCACATATGGATGTTTCCCTCTCTTTCTCCCTCCCTTCCCCTCTCTCTGAAAATAAATAAAATCTTTTTAAAAATTCTCTTTTCTTGATTTCCAGAATACTGTTCTGTTTTCAGTTCTCTTCCCACCTTTCCACCCACTCCTTCTCACTCCTTTCCCTCAACTCTATCCCCAGAGTTTAGCCACAGCCCTTTCATACCCATCCGATCAGTCCCTTGGGATATTGGGTAAGCATTATCTTTCTGCCAGCCCAACTCATTCTAGCCTATCCAACTTTGCTTCTGACTCTTAGCTCCTCAGTTCCAACTTCCTACCTGGATGTCCTGTGTGTAGGGACAATTTTTCATCCGCATGCACAGGAATAGCCCTCCCAACTGTTGATCAATGGCATCTGTTCTGACCACTGTGGCAGCCATCCTGCCTAAGCCCTGTCTGTACTCTATGGTTGGTAAATGTTTTGAGCATCAGCCCTGCCTACAGGCCCCTTAATTTTACCATGCCCCAAACTGAACTCATCACTTTCCTCCCCAAATCCACCCTTCCTACAGTATCCTATAGAGAGAAGCCGCCCAGCACTGAACCAAGATCTGTAGGCACTCTTGGCAGGCCCCTTTTAAGACACATTTTCTATACATATTTAGTCTAGTAGAGGCAGGAAGAAACCAATTTTTCTATTTAAAAATGGGATACTTTTTCATTTATCAAGGACTTTAGTATGTATAGTACTATAAACCACACTACTTCTAAGGATCCATGATAAACTATTTAAAATATAAAATTCAAGTGTGATAACTCATCGGACTCTTGGATTTCCTTGACTCTACTTACTATATCCACTAGAAAGCTGGAGTTAAAATGTGTTCCACATTGTAACTGGTTCTATCTCTGAAAGCTTCATTTCTCAGGATATCCGAAGCTACACTTCCTGCAATGTTACTTACCCAGAGTTTAAGAAAGAGCAAGAACAACAATCAGAGATCCACTGCCTGTTATTCCCATCATAATAAAGCTCTTCCACCAATTCTTGAAAAAGAGAAAAAAAAGAAACAAAACTCTTGCACTAACCCAAGAGTAAAAACTGATCAGCACCTATGTAGTGGAGACTAGAAGAGATGGTTCAGAGACATTTTGAAGAAGAATCTGACCAATAGATAATGGGCCGGAATTAAGGAATCTAATATTTTGAACCTGGTTGTGAGTTCACAGAGAAAAAGTGATGTCTATTCTGACATCTTACCTGAAACATTGTTCCATAAGGAAGGTCAAATTTCACTAATTCTACTCACCACACGTTCCTCCTCCGCGTGATCCTTCTGGCCACCACTAAATCAGAGAAAGAAAGAGGGCATCAGAAAGCACCTGCAGCATGGCAAAATTTGCTTACCCATGTTTTTAACTCCCTAAAACCAAAGTCCAGAAATTGCAGCTGTTTAAAATTTGTGGTGGACTCGTATATTTCCCATGAGAGACAGAGAGGAAATCAAAATAAGGAGACCTAGACTGAAAAGGGTCGAGGAAGAAAATTAGAAAAGGAGCATGAGGAACTTCCTGAGACAGCCCTACAAGAGACAGACCCAGCTCACACCCAATTTCCCAAATCACATTTCGGTCATCTCCACAAAGGCATGGTTAAATTACATTTTAAAATGCAAATTATTGTTTTCAGTGCAGTCTACTTACAGAACTCAATTTCTTCATCACTGCTTGAGTCCAAAACAATGCTATAGCAAAAATAAAACAGATATTGTTTTAAAGGAAAACGACATTGTAAGCAACCGAATGTCAAAAATATCAAATGAGGAGAACCCCCAATCATAGTTTCTGAAGTGCAAATTGGTTTTAAGGGCTTATGAAATTCAGATCACAATAGGGGAACAAAGAAAAATTGAAGTAACTCGCTGTTTATTAGAGAATCGAACACAAGGAAAGAACATTATTTGAGTATCATTAGGTATCAGTGAGAAGCCTGTTTTCTGCGTAGTGATTTCTTTCTATTTAAAGATATAAAAGTGATTTCTGCCCTGGCCAATGTGCCTCAACTGGTTAGAGCATCATCCCATAACCGAAGGGTTGTTGGTTCAACTCCCCATCAGGATACATGCTGAGGTTGCGGGTTGATCCCTGGTCCAGGTGCATACGGGAGGCAACCAACCAATGCTTCTCTCTTGCATTGATGTTTCCCTCTCTCTCCTTTCCTCTCTCTCTAAAAGCAATAAAAAAAATGTCCTGGGGCGAGGAGAAAAAAAATAAAGATATAAAAGTGAATTCTGAGAAAGGAGCCACAGGGGAAAGGACTTATGGGTGAAGAGAACACAGTGAAAAATGAAAAGGGCAAAATAACAAGGAGGACATCTCCAGGAACTTTACTGCTTGAAGAGACTACTATGAGTGCTACCACTGGAACTTCGCTAGAAAGGGGAAGCAAAGGGAACTAACAAGACATTGAGATTAATAAACTGGGGAACATAAGCCTGTTTGCTTGCTAGCCAGGAAGCTAAAGCTTCACACCCCAGGGGATCATAGCATTGCTCCGCCAAGGAGATTAACACCCCTCACTTCCCCTCTGCAGAACCGGACTGTTCAGGGGCACGGGAGGAGGCGCCAGACCAAAGAGGCCTGTCAGTCTCACTAGGGATTGTAAACCCATCCAAAGTCCGCAGAAGTTTGGGAAGTTGATTTCCAAACTTTTGAAAAAGCACCTGGTCTGTCCCAAACCCATGCTCCTGGTTATAATCCCTGGGGGAAAAAAGAAACACTCTCTTTTTCTTGCCCACCCAGTGATGCACTCACCGCACGCACTCGTGCGGTCTCTCTCTATAGCTGTGTGGCCACAGCAGCTGCTATGGACTCATGTGGACTCTGCCACTGGAGCAGCTGGGAATAAGCTAAGCTGCCTGGATGGGGACTGAGACCGCTTAGCAGCCGCCTGCAGGTTCCTAAGGGCTAAGCTATGACATAAAGCAGAAACTCTGGACACTGGCTTTTCTGTTGACCCTACTGAGGACAAGACTGAACCTTTTCCACTGTGGGACAGAAAGAGATGGGACATTGGAAATCCAGACGGCCTCTATTTCCGCACGAATAAAGCATACACACCACAGTCTCCCATGCGTGCGTCCTTGAAATGCTTTCCTTGTGATCCCATGCAAGAACCTAATTCCCACCCACAACGTCAGGCCTACTATCTAGGCAAACAGACAAACGCTGGAGTCCACTTCTTGGTGAACAAACAAAGGGTGATTTCAAAACTGCAACTGCTCCCTGCCCGGAGCTATGATGTTAGGGCCTCTGGCTTCTCTGCCTCACAATTTGCCAGGGCCCTCGTACTCATTCTTCCCCACCTGGTGGTGGCCCAAGGTGAGGCCAAAGCACACCAGATAGCAGCCGACCGGATAGCCCATCATCAGCCATGCACGATATAGATCCAAAATCCAGCCTGAAGTCATGCTGCAATAAGCATACTTCAGTGCTGAAACCAGCTACATCCTAGGACCTAATCATAGGTCACCTTAGCATTAGTTCTCATGACAGAACTCACAGAAGACACCAAAAGCACTAAAGAAGGTGAACCTAATAGTTATAGGGGCTTACATGCCTTTATATGGCTTTACATAATATTTATAAGGTTTATGAAATAGTCACAAGGTTTACAAATGAAAAGGTAGCCTTAACCACTTCTTGGGAGACTTTTATTTTAGCCTTGAGGTTGATTACAGGACTGATTGGGTGGATACCTTTTCAGTCTTTCAAGACACATGCTGGCTCTCTCCCCTAATTAAATTTCCTATTCATTTATTCATCACTGTACACTGGACTTACTAGGTAGTAGGCTTCAAGCTGTTTTTTTTTGTTTTTTAAATTAAGAAAAAACAGTTTTTGCTAGGTGTAAGGTTTCCCAGGTTTTGCTCAAAATGTGACCTCGGTTACCTCAAAACCTACTATTAATAAATAGCACTGTACATGAACTAAACCACATACTTCAACTATTTTCTGTGTTATGCACAAACACACACATTTTTTTAGAAGTCAGGCAAAAAGAACAAAGGATTAGAAACATGACACAAAAAACTAGACAACAGAGTCCTAGCTGGTGTGGCTCAGCTGAGTTGGGTGTTGAACCGCAAAGCAAAAGGTCACTGGTTTAATTCCCTGTCAGGGCAAATCCTGGGTCTAAATCTAAACAACAAAATAAATCACAAACAAAACAGAAACAGATTCATAGATACCGAGAACAGACTGACAGTTGTCGGGGGGAGGGATGCTGGGGAACTAGGCGAAAGAGGTGAAGATATTAAGAAGTACATATTGTTAGTCACAAAACAGTCACAGGGATGTCAAGTACAGCGTAGGGCATATAATCACTAATATTGTAATAACTGTGTATGGTGCCAGGTGGGGACTGGAAGCATCAGGGGGAGCACTTTGTAAAGGATATGACTGCCTAACCACCATGCTGTACACCTGAAACTAATACAAAATAATACTGAATGTAAGCCGGCATTGACAAATAAAATTTAAAGTTCTTTAAAAAATGAAACAAAAAAGCTTGGCCTAAAAAATAAAGTACCAATTAGACTTTGGTGGATCAATGAAGGCCAGTCCCCCGCCCTTTGCGTGATCTATTTCAGTAGCACTTGGGCCCTCAAACTGCCAAAACCCCCCTTACTCTGTGAATGACCTTGTCTCCTAAGTCACTGGGAAAATAGAAACAATCAGACAGGAATGCTCTCATCCTCCCGCCAACAAACCTACAGACCTATCTGTTAATGACACCCGACTCCCGGCCCTCTCTATTCTCAACAAGAGCATAGCATTCCCACCACTATCTGAGCCCAAGCCCTCCCTTGTCTTTGGATCTCGTCTCCCTCTCACCTCCTCAAGGATTTTGCTCCTGCAATTTTCTGTGCTGCATTATTGACCCCTCTCTCCTGGTTCTTTGTTCCACTATCCCTAGACCCCATGTCCCCCAAATTCACATGTCTAGCATTGAACTCTCCACTGAAATCCAGCTATCTGCATAGCATCTTGGATACTACTAAGTATTTAGAACGTAACATGGCCAACACAGAGCTCCTGATTCCCTCCCTCAGTCCTGTTCCTATACCAGTCTTACCCATCTCAGTCAGTGGTACCCCCATCTACCCAGTAACACAAACCAAAAACCTAGGAGTCATCCTTGACTTGTATCTTTCACCTCCCACATCCAATCCAAGAGCAAGACCTGTTGGCTCTACCTCTAGAGTAAACTTCACCTAAGACATTATTAATATGTACCTCCAAGAAAGAAAAAAACACTGCCAAGCGATGACATGCTATCAAACATATAATATATCCCAATTTCAGAAATGCTGAAAATGTGAAAACATGCCTCAGAATTGACATACTACAGTATAGCCTATATTCACACGAACCTCTGCAACCCCACTATTACTGTCCTACTCTAAACTACTGTCACTTCTCACCAAACTTCTGCAACTCTAGCACTTGGGCCTCCGTTTTAAAAGAACTATTTATCTCATAGGGCTATTGGGAAAATTAAGATAATGTCTGCCCTCCTTCAGGACTGTGGACTGCTCCCCCATCCTCTTTACACTTTACTGTATTACATTTTACCACACTATACTGTAACTGCCCGTCTACATGTTTCTATCTTCCATCCTAGACAGTAAACCACACAAGGATTTGGTAGTATATCTGACTGAGGGTCACACAGAGAGCTAGGATTTTACCTTGTGCATTTTTTAAAATCACACACATTCATTCTTTTTAGTTGAATACTGCCAACAAGCATCTTCATGCATTCAGTTACTTTCATAAATTAGATTTTCCCAAAATTGAGTCCCCAAAGTCCAATTACTCAATCAAAAGTATGGCCAATTTTATAGCTCTCGGCACATTTACTTAATCGTTTCCGAGGCATGTGATTCAGTTTACAATGTCAGCAGCATTGCTATGACAGAATTCAGTATTTTGAACTTGCACATTTAAAAGGTAAGTAACTTTTAAGTTAGCATTTCTTCTTATTACTTAAGATGTTTGTTTGCTGCATTCTTTTGCTAAGCTCCCCCATTTTAATGACTATCACAAAATAATGTGTACCAGTTTTGTGACTGATAAAAGCCACTGAAAAGAGTGAGGAAGAGGAACGCTTTGTGCCTGTTCTTTCCACAGTCCTACTCCCTAGAGATAAACAATGTATTTTATTTATTCTTTTAGAAAGTTCTTAAGCATGTGCACATACCAGCACAAGTGCACACAACTTTTCTTTTTACTCCTCACCCAAGGATATATTTATTGATTTTAGAGAGAGAATATGCAGGGGAGAGATAGAGACAGACAGATAGGGAGGGAGGGAGGGACGAGAGAGTGAAACATCGATTGGTTGCTTCCCATATGCGCCCTGACAGGGCATCTAACCCACAACCTTTCGGCAGACAGGACAAAGTTCCAACCAACTGAGCCACCTGGCCAGGGCCATGCAACTTATTCTGTGTGCGCGCGCACATACACACACACAAGTATTATGCTACATGAGTTGCTCTGCAGCTTGCGGTTTTTCACTTGGTATACCTTAGTAGTCTGTCCATTATCAGTACATATAGCTCTTGTCACATTTTTTGCATGAACCTCAATTTATTCACTCATATACCCTTAGGACATTTATGCTTCTTCCCCATTAGTGGTACCACAAACAATGCTGCAGTGAATATCCCTGTATGTATTCATCTGTGTACTCATAATTAAGCCATATGTCCTTCTTCCACTGAAATGAACAAAGACCAAAACAATCTGTGTACGTCTGCAGATGATTAAATGAACATGAATTACCGGGAGAAGGGATAGGGGAAAAGGGGAACAAAGTCTAGAGAAAATAAGAGTGAACTACAAAAAGAGCATGTATGATATGACCACATTTATGCACTTACAGGAGTACATGTATACAGAAATTAAATTGTTCTAAAAGAAAAAGTCCTGGTAATAGAATTATTGGGTTAAAAAAAAACATGGACATTTAAAATTTTGATAGTGCCAGACTGCCCTCCAAAAAGGTTGCACCAATTTATATCCCCACCATGACTGCAGGAAATTGCCTTTTTCCCTACAAATTGGCCAATTCTGGGTATGATCCAACTTTTAAAAATCTGTACCAATCTAAAATATAAAAAATTGTATCTCATTTAATAAAAGTTTTCATTTCTTTAAATAGAATTAAAAGTTGAATAAATTTTAATGTCTATAGGCCATTTGTATTTTTTCCTGAGAATTATCTTCTTTCACACCTTTTTATCCATTTTTTTTCTTTTATTGATTCTAGAGAGAGGAGAAGGGAGGGAGAAAGAGGGAAACAGCGATGTGAGAGAGGAACATCGATCAGCCACCTCTTGCATGTGCCCCAACCTGGAATCAAATCCACGACCCCCTGGCTTGCAGGACAACACCAAACCAACTGAGCCACACCAACCAGGGCATATATCTTTTAATCCATTTTCTATTTGTTTTTTCACCTTCTTAAAATTATTGGTATGTAGCCCTGGCTGGTGTGGCTCAGTTTGTTGGAGTGTTGTCCAATAACCAAAAGGTTGTGGGTTCAATTCCTGGTCAGGGCACATGCCTGGGTTGCAGGTTTGATCCCTGGTCTAAACACGTGTGATCAGCAGTCCTGGCATGTACGGAAGGCGGCCAATCGATGCTTCACTATCACATTGATGTTTCTCTCTCTCCCTTTCTATCTCAAACGCAATGAAAAAGTGTCCTCAGGTAAGGATAAAAATAAATAAGTTAATAAAGAAATGAATCAATAAAATTACTGATAAACATTCTTTGTAGATTAAGGAAAATAGCAAATATTTTGTATCTTATCATTTTTATGATTTTGTTTAATATCAAACTTAGAAAGACCTTCTCTAGTCCAAAATTATTAGAAACAAAATCCACCTATATTTTCAAATATTTTAAATGGTTTCAATTTTTATTTTAAAATATTTCATCCATGTATAATTTGTTTTGGTATAAGAATTGTAAGGTATGAATCCAATTCTTATTTTTTCCCAAATGGTCAGCCAATTATCTCCAAATTATTTGCTGATTAATCTATCTTTTCCTCACTAGTTTGAAATGCCATTTTTATCATGAACTAAATTTTTTAAAGTATTTGAATCTATTTCCAGACTCTGTGTTCTGTGGTTTCTATATTCTCTCATATTATATACTTACTTGCTTGTCTGTGAAGGAGGAAAACAGGGCAGTGTCCCAGGAGAAGACTTAGAGGAGATAAGATCTCTTAAAATACTGTACCTCCTTCCCGCGGAGGAGAATATTACATGTGTATACCTCTAGAGGGCTACACTATGAATGGGGTGGAAGTAACATAAGGACAGGTTTCAAGTTCTTCAGCATGAAGAAAATTTCAGAAATTACCCTGTATACATATTCAACAATGCCATTG